CAAGTGGAGCTAGCATGCAGCGCCTCCGACTGCACCGCCCTCAACCACTACTCCACCTGCGGCAACCTCAACCACACCTGGAACGTCTCCTACGCCTTCAACATGTTCTACCAGACCAACAACCAGGAGATCGACAACGGCGCATGCGACTTCTCCGGCTTGGGCGTCCTCACGCCGCGTGATCCCTCCGTCGGCACTTGTCGTTTCCCGATCGAGATTCTCACCGCTGACAAGGTCGACGGCGGCATTCAGATCGCCAACTATATCGGCTACGGCCACGCTCCTCGAGGAGCGAAGCACTCGATCGCTCTTTCGTTCTTTGTTGTCTTGTTGTCGTTGTTCTTTGATAAAACAACTAGGTTTTTTGGCACTCATTTTGGTTCACGCTTTATATAGAGGTTGTACGATATTTCGTTGGTCAAAAAGTATGTCAAACTCGTGGCTCTGGGCCCTTAGAATTTTGTACTCCCTCCGTTCCACAAAATAAAATCCTTTCATTTTTATTTTTTTATTTTCCACAAAACACTTCCACTTTCTATTAAAAACACACTTTTACCTTTATTTTTTCATACCCAACATATCACACCATTTTGAATCCCAACGAGGTATTGTAAGAACCAAGGCTCATTGTGTGACAATAAAAATTGGTGTCAAAATATATACTCGTAGCTTTTGTAAAAGGAATAACCTAGGTGTTTCCCAAATTGGGATACCCCATTTTTATCTCTGTTATTCGCAGACACACCGACTCTCTATGTTTGTGTGATGCACACACATAAAGACTTTGTGTGTGTCTCTAAATAACTAGGGTACAAATGGGTATCCACTTTGGGAAACCTTTTTCTAACTCATATCCTACTTTATAGTTTTTGTCTAAAAAACAAGTTTTGGCTCTGTAGTTATTTTCATCACGGGTGATACTGTGATAGTAGATTGAAATATTTGCACTAAATAGCACTAAAACTTAAGTCATTTCCCTAAATAGCACTTAAATTGTTTTATTCTCTAAATAGCACTTAATAATGTCCATAATGTCCTGTGATAGCAAATATTTGCTTGAAGAATGACTAGTGCATAATGACTAAAAGTGCTACATTGGGAAGAAAAACACATGTGGTGCTATTTGGGGAAAGTCATTATGTTTTAGTGCTATTTAAGTAAATTTCTCGAGTAGATTTGTCCCAATCCCGACTTTCATTTGGCACTTTTGTTAATATAAATGAGAGCTAGAGGATTTAATCCTGTGGACAGAGTGGGATTCATCCTTAGTTTCATGAAGGACATCATGCAATTTGCAAAGCATAAATATTTTATTTTACCTTAGGAGGAGTGGAATTCGTTCACGATGCCCTTTTGCACTTATGTGGACTAGATGAGCTTAGGCCTCGCAAAACTAACTCGGACCCGATAATCCGAACCGAATTCGATTTGACTCGAAAACTGAAGAATTGAAATAGAATCGAACACTTGAAATAATCCAAATCGAACCAAAACCAAACCGAATGTATTCAGACTCGATTCAGATCCGAAATCGATTAGACCCGAAATTGATCAATTTCATTAATATTTAATTTATCAAATGAACTTGAAGAAAAATTTACTGATATATTTTTACATATGTTGATGTGTTTCTAAAAAAACATATTTAAATTATGGGTGCAAACCATGCAATTACTTTCATATACAACTCTTTTATACTGTATTTTATCATTTAAATTAAAGTGTCTTTGTATTTTCATAGAGAGTATATAGAATTTATAGTGACATTGTAACACATATTTTATGTATAAACAATTATGTTACTAAAGTTTATTCTTTTATACTCCCTTCGTCCCATAATTTCCTTTTTTTTGAAAAAAGACGCATCTTTAAAATGAGTAATTTTGGTATTATTTTCTAATTTTTCTCTTACTTTATAATAAAGTAGGATGATATGTGTAAGATACATGACTTATAATTAGAACTAACAGTAAAATTACTTATTTTAAAGACGTGCCTTTTTACAAGCAGGAAGGGTTTTATGCGACGGAGAGAGTATTAAATATGCCAATGAACACATTATCAATAATACTTGAGCATAAACCCAAATGATGAATGGTGTCACAATCATTACGCAAAAACTTATTATTTATTATGTACGTCCATGTTAAATAATAAAATAACTACGGAGTATGCGTTAAATTGACAAAGTTTAATTATATATTCATAATATATTTTTTGAATTGACGCATAAGAAATTTTCTTCATAATTTAGTTTTCCTATTCTACAGAAGTGTTTTTCGTATACTTTCTTTATTCTTCAATTTCTTTTCTATTATTTTTTCTTTTATTTTATTTTAAACAAAAGAAACTTTATACGTAGTAAAATTTATTTTTAAAATTCATGAAGAGAATATAATTTAAAACTAGAAAATATGAAATAAGCTTCAGTATAAAAAGTAATAATTTTTCTTTGATTTTTGTATAATGAAAATGAACCAATAATAATCTCTTTTGGATAAAATAAAATGATTGAATTTGAGACAAATGAAGTGTATGTTAATTATTTTTATTTCAAATAAAAAAATTATTATGAAATCATTACATGTATAAAAATAGTTTTAACATGAACTTTAAAGCATTAATGAAATAGTTTTAAAAAAAGATCTTCAAAAATATTGATGAAAAAATAGAAGAAAAAAAAATAATAAAGAAAAAAGAGTGGAGGTGTTGATGCGGTTGATGCCTATTTCTATAACTATAGGGATCAAGGGCGCTATTCATTTAACATTTGAATGAAGAGTATTTTAGTCTAAATGGATATTGGTGTAGGAATATTAAAATCTAACGATGTAAATTTTAAAACGATGAAATGTAAGAGTACACATTTAACAAACTAAAAGTATTGGTCCAAATGTCCAGTAAACTCCGAGTAGAGTAACATCCAAAATGAAAAAGAAAGACGAGTAGAAGAGCTCCCAATCCCCAAATGTAAGGTTTTATCGCCGTCATCTCTTCTTCAGATTGAGACTCTCCGAAACCAGACTTTCAGACGCAGGTCTCACCGTCGCAGCAGTCCTACTCCGGCAGGTGGCGGACATCAATCTCGAATCTCCTCTCCTATTTTTCCGCCTTAGATCGCAGGTCGTATTCTCCGACCGTCCGGCTCCGGCTTTGTTCAGCAGTACAGCACCGCAGCAATCCCTCAGGTATGCTTCAAATTTCGTATTAAATTTCTTTATGTTAACTGATATGTATTTTTCAAATTTCAATATCAGCTCTTGTTTATCAGCTTTATTTGCTTGAATTGATCTGGATTTTGGGTGTTTTCTTTTATCCATCAAAAATTTCTTTTGGATCCCATAAGTGTTGGTTGTTTTTTACCATCTTCTCTTTATGGTGCTTTAATTTTATATTTTTGTGGCTATTGGACTCATATTGTTTTTAAGCTCAATGTTTCAAGTTTAAAAATATGTGCACACATTATTAGCCACATTTTTGAAAAAGAAAACACATTAAACACGAATGTATTTGTATACATATTCCAAATATATGAACCCTATAGTTAGCTGTACTTTAAAAATGTGGTCATTATACATGAACATACTCACAAATGTCTTACATCCATATCCAAATAAGCTAACAGAAGTTTGGATGTGAAAATTAGCATAGCCAACTAGATAGGTTTAGTTGAGACTGACAATTTTTTTGTATAGGTTCATTGTTGCTAAATGTCGTGTTACGAGAAAATTATGTTCATTGAAGTATTTTTCAAGCTTACAATTTAATGCCTTGTCTTGAAAACGGGAACCAAGACTTTTCTAACTCCATACTTGTTGTGCTCCGTTACATTGATTTATTATGTGAAGTCTGTTTTTGAATTATCATTGATAAGCAATCTGTAATAACATTCATTAAATAATCAATAGAATATCTATGCTGATTTTTTTATTTGTGTTCATCACACAGCGTATTAGTATGAAGAGTGTTCATTTGTCTCATTTATAGGCATCATAGTGCTTCAAAAAATTCTCTTAAGTGAGCACATCAGATTCTTCATTTGTTGTTGTTGTTGTTGTTATATACTCCCTCCGTCCCAAAAAGATTTACACGTTTTGACTAAAGTTGAAATTAAGGGAGGGATAATTTTGTGTTGACTTTCCAAAAATATCCTTGATGTGATGGGTAAAAGTAGGATGTGATGTGTAGATTATTAGGAAAAAGGTATGATGTGATAGGTAGGGTTTGAAAAAGTAAGTGGTAAAAGTGGTTTTTTAATAGATATGGGTAGGAGATTGTGGGACGCAATTTTTTTGAAAGGTGTAAATCTTTTTGGGACAGAGGGAGTATATATGTATATATATATACACACACACTCTCTCCATTAAATGCTCTGTATTAATTAGTCCTGATTCAACTTATCAATACAATCATGTATTCTCTACCAAGGACATATCGATCCCCAAACATCGACAGGGCTGGAATAATATTGGGTCTATTGTTCTTGCACCCAAGTATGACATCATGCTTGCTCCACCTTCTCAAAAACATGCAATACTCTTCATTGTCTATGTGTGTCTGCATAAGACATGCATGCAAACCCTAATAATACTCGTGGAAAATAATCATTTCATATGTTAATGCAGAGACGATTTATATGGTATCATTCTTGGTCCTCTATCCTCTATTATGGAGCATTTCATATTCATGTTTCAAAATATATTTACTATTAAAAGATCTGAGTAGTAATATTTAGGATCGGTAAAGTACGGAGTATTTAATTGTGTTTCATATATGGATGATATAATTGAAACAAGACATGTTCTTGGTTTAAGAAGGATTGACACGGTTGGAAATTGAAGAGTAGAAAAAGGAAATGGCTGAGGATGAATGGCAAATCATATGTAAAAATGGACGCTCAAGTGAAGCTTGAAAAATCAGGAGATGATACTCAATTGCTACATTGGTTGTCGTAAGAACTGATAAGAAAGTATTGTAGAAGAAATTAGATTTCATGCTTGTTTCCAAATGCAAGAACGTGAAATTAGGCAAACTTGACCTGATCTGTCAGTAACTACTTGACCTGATCATGGGCCCGTGTCCCAACCCGCCCTGTAAAGGCTTATTAAAAAGTGAGGACTCGGGCTTATGTTTTTGTATTTGGACCGACCCAGCCCATATGTCGCGACGACCCATAATTCCGTGAATATAGATGGCCGAGTATGTGTTGCATTAATGAAGCCCGCAAGTGGCCCGACTCGATCCTTATACCTAATTTGCTGAGTTGCAAGCACTTATTTTATACGAATGCACAAAGTAAAAGTTTTAATTTTTTTAAAAGTATAATGTTGATTCAAGCACACTTTGTATAGCTAGAACAAAAAAAGTAATTCGTATAGGCTATCTGTAGCCATACGTAATGCTTCACGTAAGACTCCCGTGATCTTGCTTGGCTTTTGCCATGGAGCGCTACAAAAGAAACGAATCTTGAATATTGAATCTGGACCAACAATTGCAAATATACTAAAAAAATGGATATTGAATCCAACTAAATCCACATGTCACCTTCAGCACAAACTCCATGGAGTCTGAAATAAATTCGAACCAACCATTGTTTTTTCTTAAGAACGGTGGCAGCATCTGACAGCATCAGTAGCGACAGTGACGTCAACAATTGTATTCAAAAAACACTCTTTTCGAGTAACGATGGCTTTGAAATCAATAGAAGAGTGGAGTGAGTGAATCGAAGGGAGCTGGTGGAAGCTAAGTTTGACTCAGGTGGATAGAAATTGACGACGCCAAAAGCTGCCGTGGCTGTGGGAGGATAGAAAAGGTGTTCTGAGATATGACAGCAATGAAATTAACGAATTTGCCATTGATTCTCTCGTGAGAGCTCAATTTAGCTCAATTGACCTGCCTTTAGGTGACTGTCTCTCGGTTTTGAAGGGACCCTCGGGATGGAGCTTATCTTTTTTCTTTTTTCCAGTAGCATATGGGCCGAGTCGAACACCTTTTCACTCGGGGACATGATCAAGTCTAGTAGTGACTGAATAGTGAGCTTCCTTGAATAATAATGGGCCGCTTTGCCTAATTTCACAGTCTTGCATTTGGATTCAAGCTCACACTCTAATTTCTTTTACAATGTTTTTTATTAGTTCTCACTACATCAAAGGTAGCAATTGAGTATCTTTCAATTTCTCAAGCTTCACTTGGGCATCCATTTTTACGATCAATTCGCCGTTCATCCTTGAGTATTTCCTTTTTTCTACTCTTTAATTTCCAACCTTGTCAAATTTTCTTAAACCATGATTATGTTTTGTTTCAATTATATCATCCGTATATGGAACATAATTGAGGTTATATTTTACTGATCTTAAATACAACTGTTCAGTTCTTTTATTAGTAATATATTGTGAAAGATGTGTATGAAACGTTCCATGATAGGAGATGGAGAATCAAGAGTGATACCATAACTTTGTCATTGAAATGGTCTCTGCAATAACATATGAAATAATTATTCTCCACGAGTATTGTTAGAGTTTTTCCCACCTCCCACACAAACACGCATAGACAATGAACAATATTGTGTATTTTTGAGAAGGTGGAGCAAGCTTGAGCACTTGGGGTGCAACAAGTTAACAACAGACCCAATAATTCAATATTATTCTAACTCCGTCGATGTTTGGGGGTCAACATGTCCTTGATAGAGAATGAATGATTGTATTGATAAGTTGAATTAGGGTTACTTAATAGAGAGTATATACGACAACAACAATATCAAATTCAGTATAATTCGAACTCCTTAAGGGTATGGGCCCCCTGGTCAAGCTGCACACAGTCGTACCTCTGTAAAAACAGAAGTTTCCATTAGACCCTTGATGCATTGCTGCATTTACCATTCAAAGGTGTCATTTCAATTTAGTCCATTATTCACCTAAAGCTAAAAGAAATTTTCAAAAATAACTCATTTAACTCCATTCGCAGTGGACATACCTTTGAAGAGTATGTATAGGGATTAATCCCGACTCCTGAGAAAAGAAAAGTAAATATGACAAAGAGATCCCAAAAGTATCATTAGTTATATTATCTTCAATTAGTAATAAACCTTATCCGTCAGTCCGTCACACTTGGGGTGTCCCTAGCTTAATGCTTTTTTACATTACTGTAACACTATGTTTGGTTCAAGGAATTTGGGAGGAAAAGAAAATGGTTCTCTCATTTTCTTCACAAAAATGGGAGGAATTTTGTTTTTCCTCCTCTTATTACATTTTGTCTTCTCATTTTCTTTTCCATCAACTTTTCTTTTCTCTTCCTCTCTAACCAAACAAAAAAAATATGTTTTCTCTCTCATTTTCTTTTCATTTTCATTTCAAATTCCTTGAACCAAACATAGTGTAAGTGAATTAGCTCTAGAAATAGAGAAAGATGGTCGTTTCTTAAAGATGAAGAATGAAAAATGAAAAGCGGAGAAAAAAGAGAGTTGCCTCTACGGCTCTAACCGCATCTACAAATATTTGGAATTTGAAGTAATCCCTAGCATCAGTGCTTTGCTGAACACAAGCTCTAAGAAGCATGTTTTCAATTTTCAGTGGAAATGGCAGCAGTTTACAGCCTCTATATCATCAACAAATCAGGAGGCCTTATTTTCTATAAGGTCAGTCTGTACCTTTAGAAAGATGCTCTTCATTTGGCTTGGAGCTTTGATTAAAATATAAAATGGCAGGAAAATTTAATCATTGATGTTAAAATGTTAGGATTATGGTTCAGCTGGAAGAATGGACACCAATGATAGTTTGAGGTTGGCAAGTCTTTGGCATTCGATGCATGCCATTTCTCAGCAACTTTCTCCTGTCAATGGTTGCTCGGGCATTGAACTCCTTCAAGCAGATACCTTTGATCTTCACTGCTTCCAATCTCTTACTGGTATTTCCTTTGCCATTCTTCTCTCAACTGAATTCTCAAAGGGAATGGTGTAAAGTCTTTATGCTTCAGGAGTTCCAACAATTTTAAAAGGGGAATTTCAGGTTGTGTTATTTCCCAAAATGCACCTCCATATGCATGCCTCTCAACATAAGGGTTTCATCAGGATTTTTTCCAATATATTCTAGACTACTTGAGGGTTATTTCAAGAAACCTGCATATCAACGGCCAATTCCGAGAAATACTCAAAATCTAAAGGAAATTTCCCACATTGAAATGAAACGCTGTAAATCTAGATATTAGTATATGAACATGTAATTATTTTTTTTAATTTTAGAACTACCCACAGTAAACTTTAATCTGTGTTTTCTTGATATCTAACTGAAAGGAATGTGCATAATATATCTAGAAAAAGGTGCTGGATGGGACTATCTCACTGAGAAGTGAGAAGGGCTGATTCATGTACACTGACAATTATTGTCTTTATGGTTGCTTAGATAAAAGCACCAAATTATTCAACTGCAATAAAGATACTTGATAGTCAATGATGGAGTTAGAAATTAAATGTTGGTGTGGTTTGGGGGGAGGGGTGGGGGGTTATTAATATATAACTGGTCAAAAAGAGAAATTGTATGAAGTTTTTCCCCATTACATAACTCTCATTTAATTCATGGATTTCATGCTTGCTTTTCCATTGAATAAGAATAATTAGTTATTGTATTAATGATACAGTTCTTGACGAGAAAAATTACTGTGTGTGGGTGGGGAATATCTTTTCTTTTTTGTATGCAAATAATCGACCTTTTTGCTACCAAAATTTTCATACACAGCATTACAGTCTACAGCGGTCATGACATGGTTATGTACAAGCTTGTACGCCTTATGTATGTACAATTTTGGCAAAGTGGTAGAAAACTAATAGTCTAGTTTGAGCTTCATCAGTTTGTATGGTGGCACTGTATATAATTTTTACCAAAAACTTTAGGAAATATTACATCGTACTAGCCTTCTTTTTTTGGCTTGTTAGAGCATCTCCAAACTTATCAATATGGCTTACTAAAACTTATATAATAGCAAGTGAGCCTACTTTTTCCTTCTCCAAGGGATGTGGTATATTATACTTGTCAAAAAGTAAAATTCACTTGCTAAACATAGCAAGCCATCCAAATAATAGCAAGCCAAAAAAATTAATAAAAAATTAAACCAAGAGTTCAAAAAAGTAATCTCATCACGAGAATAGAGAGAGGAACTAGAAATATCCATTCTTGGTTAAAATTTAGCAAGCATGGTTGGAGAATGGAGCAAAAAGCTACTTGCTATATTACTATTCACTAGCTAAAATTTAACAATAACAATTTAATATAGCAAGCATGGTTGGAGATGTTCTTAATTAGAGACTTGCCTCTAAACTGGATCTAGAATTCGGCACCGCCAGTAAATTAATCTTATGACTCAAAATGACTCATTTTATTTTTCATTGAACTGTGAACATGCACAGAGTCCGATAGGGAACAACGTTTGTAATTAGCGTCATATCATTTTTTATTGGTGAAGATTAACGTTTAGGGATGCTAAAGCTAAATGCTACCTTGGACAACATTTTCAAATTGCTAGAGCTAAACTCTTACAATGCTTGTAATTAGCGTTAGGGTTATAGATATTTTTTTAACAGTATAGATTAATACTAAAGCTAAAAGCTACCTTTGGACACCATTTCCTAATTGCTAGAGCTAAACTCTAATGCTAATGCCAAATAGACACTTAGCATGCTTGCTGAATGCTGGTGAGCTATTAGTATCTTATAAAGAATTTAGGAATCATTTAAAATGAAGTAGATACTCCGTATATAATTAGCCACATGCCATGTTGAGACACTAGCAGTTTGAGTAGCTAGTTATTCCAAAAACCTTGAAAAGCTGTTTGTTTTTAACACAAATATAAACCATCTTTTTTTTGGGACCAAGGCTTTCTCAATAAGCTCTACCAATCACTTCTAATACTTGGCCTTCAGAAAAGCTCCTTGCCCAACACCCCCAATAGTGGAAAAATTTAATCATGACAGAAGATTCATCTCTGCACTATATTGGACATTGGTTGTAGGCTAATCATTATGGAACAGTTCTTCTCAAGATTCACTTGCTAAATTTTACAAAAAACGTACCCAGGAAGGTCTCACAAGTGGGGAAATGCTAAATTTCACACCTTTTTTTGACAATAGTGCCCCTAATTGCTTCACTTGCATGATTAACCTTTTTATATTATTTCAAATATTGACACTATATTATCATGCCACCCACTCCCATTTTGGATTTAAGTGGGGATGGTGAAACATAATGACAAAGGGCTGGCAATAAATAAATAGTGCAGAATGGATGTCGTTATGTTTTGGCTGCAGGGACAAAGTTTTTCGTGGTGTGTGAGCCTGGAACAGTGCACATGGAACCTCTCTTGAAACATATATATGAATTGTACACCGATTACGTCTTGAAGAATCCTTTCTATGAAATGGAGATGCCGATTCGGTGTGAGCTCTTCGACATCAACTTGGCACTTGCTGTGCAGAAGGATCGAGTGGCATTACTGGGAAGATAGATGAATCGGACTGCCTTTTCCTTGATGCTACTACCAAAGGTTTGTTTGACTACTTATTTCGCACACCTGCGTGACAAGAATACCCTTTTGACATTTAGGAAACGAGGGCAATCGACATCTCATAGACTCCTACCGATACACCCACCTGAAGTCTGTTTTTATTGTTTTTCATATATAAAGCATTCAGGTCTCTTATAACAAATTCCTCTTTTTCCATTTTTTGTTTTTTTTTTCAATATCTTTTTCCTCTTTGGGAAGTTGGCGTGGTTGGGCATTGAAACGAGTTGATTTGACGAAATGGATTGAAGTCCTCTTTTGAAACACTTGTTTCTTTTGGCACACACTACATCATTACTCTATATTCCAATTAATTTAAATTAACAATATGCGAGGATTTATACTGGAGGGTGGGTGTGGTTTCTATGCAGGATAAGGACATTAGATTAAGATGATTTGGATTCGTATTGAGGAGAAATACGGATGCCCGGTGTGAATGTGCGAGATGCTTGGGGTAGGGAGCGTGAGGAGGGAATCAAGATGTATCAAGAAAAGTTAGAATGAGGTTATTTGACGCGATTAACACTTCAAGATCTTATCGAAGATACGGGGTATGATTTTAAATATGGAGATTTTGAAGTTTAGGATAGTGTCTTGGAGTTTGTAACTTTTGCTTGTGTGATTTTGTGCCTAAGTTTGTAGTTTTTGCTCGTGTGTGTTTTGTTAGCGTTCTTATTATTTTGCTTGTGTTACTTTCTTTTAATGTTTTTCTCATATGTTTTGAGTAGGGGTAAGGTTTGCTCGGCATAAATTATAAAAAAAACGCATGACGAACTTGCTAATGGGATTTGTACCGGTAAAAATCTATCGTGAAATCCATGTTCTGTTACAGATTCTATAGTAGAATATGCCTTTGTTTGTCATTTGCATTTTTTTCATCACCTCTATACAAACAAAGAGGCCAAACATTGACCAGCATTGCATTTAACTTCAAATAAATGTCAATTGTAGAATGATAAACAAGAATAATAAGAGGTGTTTGTGGATGTGTTTGAAACTGCCTTTAAACTCTTGTTTCGTCAAGTGTGTTTTACAATCAAATACTCATATAATACTCCGTAACTTTTACTCCTCTGTCCTTATTTAAATGATTCATTTTGATTTATAATGTTGGAAGAAAGACTAAAATAGGACTAAAACATTAAAAACATACTAAAATATGATTTTCATGTTTTTATTTCCAAAATAGGACTTACATTACCAAACATGGTCATGTATATTACCAAAAGACTATAGTAATGTGCGCATGTACAGTGTCACACTACCACAGTGTGAAATTCTATTTTAGGAAAAAAATATGGAAGTTTTATTTTAGTATTTTTCTCTATGTTTTAGTCCTATTTAGGATGATTTTCATATAATGTTTGACCAAAATTCTTTTTAATTCAATTTATATGAGAAGTGGGAAAGATTGAAAAATAACAATTGCAAATTTGAAAATTATGTTAAAAGATCTACTCCAAAACTAGTTGTGATGTGATTAAACTCTCTTCGTCCCTATTATGTTTACAAATGTGTAAAACAACAAAGATCTCCAAGTTTTTTAAATTTATTTTATTTAAAGATTGAGACATATATAAATAAAAAATAAAATTTACATATTTAAAAATAACATCAAAAATTTTACAAAACAAGAGATCACTAGAATATTTTATTCTATTAAATAATTAATAAAAATACACAAATAAAAAATTTCATTAGAATACCACGATATTTCATTTGTAAAATTGATTCGTAAAATTGATGATTTCTATCCTTTGAACCATCACCTAGCCCCCACCCCTACCTTTACAATATTAATGACTAAATGTTACCCCGTAAAAAGACACTCCGTAAACTATTTTTTCTCCAAACTCTAACTGTTGTGTCATGCCACCCTCCATAGATCACGAAGTAGAGCTGCAGATCGAGATTGTTATGTCTTCTTACTTCTTTTAATTTTTTTAATCAAGTTATCAGGTATTTCTTTATTTGTTAAAATAGAGTTTTTACCCTTTTGATGTAAAAATTATTTTATGTGTAATGTGTTACCGGAGTATTTAATTATTTAGTGTTGAAAATTGAATTGGCCTCGGAATAGGTTTATAGGACTAGGAGTAAGTAAAGCAAATTATCGTAGAAAATTGGGTTTTAAAATTTAGGATTATTTTGTTGATTTTTTACAGAGATTATTTTGTGAAATTATGGTTTAAAAATGCTAAAATAGTATAATGACTTATACGAAGTGTTTTTAAATATTACAAACACGGATGTAATTGATCATTTAAAAAAATGAAAAAATGAAATCGAAAAATCAAAACTCATTTTCAAAAATTGAAAACTCGTATTCTAAAATTGAAAACTCGTAGAAAACAATTATAAAAACATAAATTTGTTTTAGTTTTGTTACATAGTTTCTTTATATCTAATTTTAATTTATGTGTACTATAGCTGTGCCGATCAAATCTGCCTCTGATGATAAACACTGCAGACTACAAGAAGGGACTAAAGGTTGACCCCTTGTGTAACCCCACGTTTTCACAGAAATGATCATAATCACCCAATAGTCTTCACCCTAGTCTTCACCCTGACGTACATATCTTTGATTGCACGAATATATGCAAACAGAACCCCTCTATACTCAAGGCATCTCCACAAGATCTCCCTCGAGATCCTATCAGACGCCTTCTCAAGATCAATCAAAACAATGTGAAGATCCTTCTTATAAGGTCTATACTCTTCCATCAATCTCCTCAAGAGATGAATAGCTTCCATAGTCGATCGGCCAGGCAGGAAGCCAAAGTTTGATGCCTTTATGATTATCGTAACTTTAGATATCACATTTCTCCTTATATAATAGATTCAACACAATTTTCCTTTGTTCATGAGGCATCTTGGTGGCTCTAAAGATAAAATTAAAGAGTTTAGTAAATCAAGTCAAATCATTACTACTTACATACTTTTAAAATGCACGGGAATTTTATCTGCCATAAGGCTCTCCAACCTCTCATCCCACGAATGGCCTTCACCACCTCTCTTTGGCTAATACGCTGGCAGTATCCAAATTCATGATGTTTCTCTCACTGTTCTAGGCTCTAGCATTGTATCTCCTCCTGCATTAAGAAGGCCATTGAAGTACTCCCTCCATCAGCTGGACACTTTTGCCGCTTCAAATAAAACTTATCGTAATCCTTCACACTACACCCACCCCGAATCTTGAACTTTCTTCTCCCACACCCTTGCAAGTTGAAAATGCCTAATCCCTACCCTGCTCCTCTAAGCCTTTATACGTGCATTCAAAGACTACATTTTCCGTCCTTGTTACCTTAAACGTAGCTTCCTTACGTGCAGCTTTATACTCTTTTCGCAGGGACACCCTAGCCACATTGTCACTACATTTCCGCAAACCTTTGATAAGATACCTTCTTAGCTTCTACTTCTCTACGAAACACATCACTCCACCACCAGTTACCTTTATGTTGAGTTCTAATGTCATTGCTCACTCCAAGCACTTCTCGTGCATCCTCTTAGATACAATTTGTAGTCCTATCCCACGTCATTGGCCTCCCTGGTAGACTCCCATGCTCATTTCTCTCAAACCCAAGCAACTAACCTTTGAATCTTCTCTTCACCCAAGTTTCTCCAATGGATGTGCGATGGACCCCCAGTCGTCTATGTCTTCTTCATCCACCTAATCAAAACATCCATAATAGTAACTTATGTTGAGTTGTAAGATTCTCACTCTGGATTACTTTAGCATCCTTAGAGAGAACCCGATCACATTTATGTAGAAGGAAGTAATCAATTTGCGTCCTCCTCACTATGTTAGCAAAAGTAACCAAGTGGTCCTCACACTTTGAGAAGTAAAAGTTGGCAATCACTACGAACCCACTCGCACTAGCAAATTCCAACAGAGAAAACCCTTCAAAATTTCTATTCCCAAAGCCAAACCCTCCATGTACCCCTTCAAAACCATCTATCGAACCCTCAATGTGATTGTTAAAGTCACCTCTAATGAAGAGATTATCTGCTCCTATCACCCATGTAGTATTTCCAAAACCTTTCTCTTAATTACTTCCTCATCTATGTCAATATGTGGGGCATAAGCACTAACAAATTTGATAGCGCAGCCACCCAAGACCAACTTAACAATCATCACTTGGTCACTAATCCTTCTCGCCTCCGTCACAAAATTTCGAATCTCCTTAAAAATTAATTCTTAAAAGTTAAATAAAATTTATGGAGTAATATAATTTTAATGTGATCGTTAAAGCCACTTCTAATGAATAGCTCCGTTGCCCCTAATGGTTTTTAAAATGTGCACCAACGTCCCCTTTTTTTCTTTATTATCTTTTTTTCTTTTTTTTAAAGAGAAGAAAAATGATTATGTTTGAAATAATGATCTTATTGGTTTTCTAAACTCTAGAAGAAAAGATCATATAGTTTTAAAAAAGATCTTCAAAAATATTGATGAAAAATATAGAAGAAAAAAGAAAAAGAGAGAGAGGATGTTGGTGCCTATTTCTAAAACTATGGCGAGCAGCGGCGCTATTCATTATATATTTGAAATGTATTTTAGTCTAGAAGGACATTAACGTAAGAAAATTAGAATCACATGAATAAGAATATAAGTTTTACAACTAATGGTACACATTTAGCGTACCAAAGAGTTATTGGTGCACGAGTAACATCCAAATATTTTCACTAAAAAAGAAAATGAAAAAGAAAGACCCCAATCCCCAAATGTAAGGTTTTATCGCCGTCATCTCTTCTTCAGATTCAGACTCCTCTCCGAAACCAGACTTTCAGACGCAAGGTCTCACCGTCGCAGCAGTCCTACTCCGGCAGGTGGCGGACATCAATCTCGAATCTCCTCTCCTCTTTTTCCGCCTTAGATCGTAGGTCGTCTTCTCCGACCGTCCGGCTCCGGCTTTGTTCAGCAGTACAGCACCGCAGCAATCCCTCAGGTATGCTTCAAATTAGTATTGAATTTATTTACGCTAACTGATCCATTGTCTTCTTCAAATTTTGAGATGAATTCATTTTTGTTCAATTTATTTGCGTAAAATGATCTGGATTTTGGTTGCTTCCTTTTATCCATCTACTATTTCTTTTCTATCCTGTAAGTATTGGTTGGTTTTTACCATTTTCTCTGTATGGTATATATTTTTGTGGCTATTGGACTCATATTGTTTTTATGCTCAATGTTTCAAGTTTAAATTGCCATTCTTGTTAAAAATGTGCACACTTAATGTAAGCCAGCAATTGAAAAAGATAATAAATTAAAGAAACGTCTTATATCCATATCCGAATAAGCTACCAGAGGTTTGGATTGGAACATTAGCATAGCCAACTAGATAGGTTTAGTTCAGACTTGAGACCTGACAATTTTTTTTGTACAAGTTCATTGTTGTCTACCGAATTTCGTGTTACGAGCAAATTTTGTTCATTGAAGTATTTTTCAAGTTAACACTTTAATGCCTTGTATGCTAAAAAATTTGAGAGGTTTTCTTTCCGGATCAACTCATGAAAATTGGAAGCAAGACTTTTCACACACCATACTTGTTATGCTCTGTTACATTGATTTATTATGTGAAGTCTGTTTTTGAATTATTATTGATAAGCAATCTGTAATAACATTTCATTCGATAACCAATATAAATATCTAAGCTTTTTTTCCGTGTTCATTACATAGTGTACGAGGATGAAGAGTGTTCATTTGTCTGCTTTATAGGCATTGCAGTGCTTCAAAAAAAGTCTCTTAACTGAGCACATCTGATTTTGCATTTGGGTCATTGGAAAATGGCCAGTGCATTATTAGCAAGTAGGGGAGGAGCATTAGGAGATCGTGCATCTGCCTTGTTTAGACTCCCGTTCAGCTCCTTTAGATATTTCAGTACTTCTCCTAGTCCTTCGGCAGCAGCGGATGCCAGTAAGCCAACCCCAAAGAAGAATAAGAAGAATAAGAAGAAGAATCTCTTTGAGGTTGTGCAGTTTCTCCCCAACTGGGGCATTGGCTATCACATGGCCAAAACCCATTGGGCTGATGTTTCCTACCAAATTACCAAGATCAATCTGTACAAGGTACACTTTGATGTTCTTTTACGATTTTGAGCTCTAGGGTTATTTTTAATTTGTCTAATGTCTAAGGGAGTTTATGTGTCTATATTGCAGAGTGGAAAGCATGGAAAGGCTTGGGGCATTGCTCATCGAGATGGTTGGTTCTTAGATTCGCCATCTATGTTTCTCTCTCTCTTTAATACGCCCTCTGTCCGACAAAAGTTTTCACATGTTCCCTTTTCATTCGCCACAAAATATTTTTTTTGCCTCTTTTCGGAAAATGATATGTTGTCCAAAATGCTTCTTTCTCCTGTAAACATATTCTAACAACTCACTTTTCACTTTTCAACATCCTTCCGCCATTTATTACTTTCCGTGGATACGTGCAGGTACTCCGATTGCGGAAGCACCCAAGAAAATTAGTGGGGTCAACAAACGCTGCTGGAGATACATTCCAAACTTGAACAAAGTTGAAGAAAACACTCCCAAGATGGAAATTCAATCGGCCTAATTTCGCCCATCATTCTAGCCCATCTGTGTTTTCTCTGCTCATGATTTGAAACTGTTTTTTTGTGGCACTACCAAGAAGGAGCCATAGTTCTTGAAAGGGGGAAAACAAAATTCTTTACATGTCCCTGCAGTTTTGGATCGCCTCAAACGTACCCGTTAACTATCGTGCTTTGAAGTTGTTCACTGTTGCTTTGTGGTTGTACATTGGTTCTAGCTATGGTACCTTGCTTTCCCTCTTGCTTTGCTGCTTTGTTTTTCTCTCCATTCTCTTCTCCTCAGGCTTTATGCAATGTCTTTAGTTTTTAGAGTTGGGATTGATCCCATTTCATTCACTATATTTTATTTGTGCTCCTTAGAACAACTCTTTGGTTTAAGATTGTTTTAGTTAATGAAACTTTTCTCCTTCAAAATATATTACAGTACATGAGAACCCAGATTTTGAAAAACCTTGAACAAAATGACATGTTTTCACAATCACAAACACAATTTGGGTAAAAGAAAACGGTAGTATGTAATGAAAATTTTTTTTGGACTAAAATCACAGACAGCATATCTTGAAGTGTTCCCACGACACTATATTCATTGAGGAGAATTACAAGATTTTATATGGAACAGTATTTCAGTTAGAACAAGGAAACTCTTCATCTTTCCATATTATTTCACGCTTAAAAAAAAGGATGAGCCCCAGAGAGGTAAATTGGTTTTTAATTTTGGATTAGTGGCAAGGAGTGGAGTCTGTTTCTGATATTTGTTCTATGCTTAGGATTCGAAATCGGGTCCACCGACCTTGACACTTTCTGTTTTTGACAACTGCGCAACGGTCACTGACTTATTTCACGTTTTAAAAATTATTTCTAAGTGATTTTGATATTCAAATTAATGGAGACACTCTTAACACTTTCGTTTTAGATAAAGGTTTCCAAACTACCTGTCTTTTGTATTTTTCGTTTTAGAAAAAGAATTGAAAATCAAAAGGTGTAATTAAAGTTTATTAGAAAATGAGAAATATTGCAAGTCATATATTCGTTTTTAATGGTAAAGAAAGAAATATTGCAAGTCATATATTCGTTTTTAATTACTCCACTCTTGGGCTTCTTGCAATCACAAAACAAGATAATAGGCTGAATGGAATAAAGAGACTAGGACTTTCTTCTAATTGAAGAATGGAAGAAGTCATGACATGTTTTGAAGGTAAAACTTGTATTACAAATTTCATTAGGAACAGGAAAGAATTTTGATATACGCACTTTTCAATATTCCGAAGTCCATATGATTTTGATACATACTTTTTGGTCTCTTATTTCTATGTTCCACGCAAAATATGTAGTGATAACAATAGTAACATAACCTTTTATGTTTGTCAAACTCATATTCCATTTAAATACTTTTTTATACTTAATGAAGTGAAATTAGACCTGGTAAAAGTAGTACATATTTAATTTTTTTACATTATTCATAAAATTGTTCAATATATCTAAAAAATAATTAAAATTTAAATATTCTAAGAGATTTTATATATGTATTTTGATAAAAAATTTTAAGTGCAAAATATAAGTGCTAGTATGTATTTAAATATTTAAAAATAAATCTCATAACTCGTTGGATAGAACCTGATGACCCTGAATTAAAGATGTAGTTCTCAATTCAGAATTTATGTAACCTAAACCCGAAGATACCAAACCTAAATCTGACCTGACCGACCGATTTATCAGAGAGAATATTAACAAAATATAAGGGTATTTTGAAAAGCTTATTGTAAAAAGAGTAGTGATTAAACCTGTGTATACACCATATATACACTACTTTCCTTCGCACTACTATTAGTTGCAGGATTTTACTATGTTGTTCATGTAAAAATAAAGAAAGAGTCGGGAGAACCCTAATCAATTGGTTAAGTGCCAATTCCCACTTACTTTTATACTCTAAACTCTTATCCTGGGAAATTCAACACAATTTCACATAGATCTAAGCTTACATAGAATCTATATTTAGAAAATGTCATAAACTATTGAAGTGTGATCTTAATTCAACTTCAAAAGTATACAAAGAAGAAGAAAAGTTAACCTTAGGTTGGATGGTTTCATCTTGTTTTCGTTTAGAACAATTTTTTCCTGAACAATATAGTAAAATCCCAGGTTGTTGGTCTTAGACATTTGAACATGTAAGACCCATAAGAAAAGTCTGTGGCTTTGGAAACCGAATGTAGGCATTCAAAGATGAAACTAAATGGACAGGAAAAGCTTATAAGAAAAAAGCGACGAGTTTTGATAACGAAGCACTACAATGCCATAGACATGGGTGATTGTCTTACCAAAAACATTTAAAAATGGGCACCAGAATCAAAATAAGAGAGAAAAAGAGCACAAATGGGATAACCACGTAATAAACTCAGAGTAACAAACATCATAACACAAATCTTAGTCGACCTCCTCGATCTTTGGGCCAGCGCCACCAGCTGCCGGGGGAACAGCGTCCTCATCCATGTCGGGAGCAACACCGCCTTGATACATCTTGGCGATGATGGGATTGCAGATCCCCTCGAGCTCCTTCATCTTGTCTTCAAATTCATCGGCTTCGGCGAGCTGGTTGCTGTCCAGCCAGGAGATGGCTCCATCAATGGCATCCTCAATCTTCTTCTTGTCGTCGGAGCTGAGCTTGGAGCCAATCTTCTCGTCCTTCACCGTGTTCCTCATGTTGTAGGCGTAGTTCTCCAGGGCATTCTTGGCCTCCACCTTCTTCTTGTGCTCCTCGTCCTCCGCCTTGTACTTCTCTGCTTCCTGGACCATCTTTTCAATCTCGTCCTTGGACAGACGACCCTTGTCGTTGGTGATGGTGATCTTGTTCTTCTGTCCGGTGGTCTTGTCCTCGGCAGAGACATTCAGGATGCCGTTTGCGTCAATGTCAAAGCAAACGGTGATTTGTGGGACACCCCTTGGGGCGGGAGGGATGCCAGAGAGCTCGAATTTGCCCAACAAGTTGTTGTCACGGGTTCTTGTCCGCTCGCCTTCGTACACCTGGATCAGGACGCCGGGCTGGTTGTCAGAGTAGGTGGAGAAAACTTGTTCCTTCTTCGTGGGGATGGTTGTGTTCCTGGGGATCAAGACAGTCATGACTCCTCCAGCAGTTTCCAGACCAAGAGACAATGGGGTGACATCCAGAAGGAGTAAATCTTGGACCTTCTCATTGCCCTCGCCGCTCAAGATTGCAGCCTGGACAGCTGCACCGTAAGCAACGGCTTCATCTGGGTTAATGCTCTTGCAGAGTTCCTTTCCATTGAAGAAGTCCTGAAGCAACTGTTGAACCTTGGGGATTCTAGTGGATCCTCCGACAAGAACCACATCGTGGACTGTGCTCTTGTCCATCTTGGCATCCCTCAAACACTTCTCAACTGGTTCCATACACTTCCTGAACAGATCCATGTTCAGCTCTTCGAACCTAGCACGGGTGATGGTGGAGTAGAAATCAATACCCTCAAATAATGAATCAATCTCAATTGTGGTTTGGGCAGTGGAAGAGAGGGTTCTCTTTGCCCTTTCACAAGCAGTCCTCAATCTCCTCAGAGCTCTGGGGTTTCCAGTGATGTCTTTCTTGTTCTTTCTCTTGAATTCTTGGACAAAGTGGTTGACCATTCTGTTGTCAAAATCTTCACCTCCAAGGTGGGTGTCTCCAGCAGTGGCTTTCACTTCAAAGATACCTTCTTCAATTGTGAGAAGGGAGACATCAAAGGTACCACCACCAAGATCAAAGATCAAAACATTCTTCTCGCCAACGCTGGTCGCTTTCTTGTCAAGACCGTAAGCAATAGCAGCAGCTGTTGGCTCGTTGATAATGCGCATGACGTTTAACCCAGAGATGACACCAGCGTCTTTAGTTGCTTGACGTTGAGAGTCATTGAAGTATGCAGGGACAGTGACAACAGCATTCTTCACTGTTGACCCAAGGTAGGCCTCAGCAATCTCCTTCATCTTGGTGAGAACCATAGACGAAATTTCTTCAGCTGAAAATTGCTTCTCTTCGCCCTTGTAGTTGACAACAATCATTGGCTTGTCTCCGGGGCCAGGAATGACCTTGAAAGGCCAAAGCTTCATGTCAGCCTGGACAGATGCATCAGAGATTCTCCTACCGATAAGACGTTTTGCATCTGCAAAGCCATAGAAAAACACAAATCAGAGCTTGTTAACGCTTCAATTAGCAACCAAAATAAAACAAGGACCATATTCCAGACTCCATCCATATAGAGCACAGAATGCGTTGGGTGGCTAACTTAATGTCAGTCTAACAAATACTGAGCGCAGACATGAACCTTCAACAGCCCGTAATCCAATTAATTGTCCAATTATATTAAACAAAAAAGCTGATTCAAATAAAACCCACGCTTTACTATTGGCAAGGATTTTAAATTACAAAAGAGAACATTCTACATTCTAAATACAGCATGTTTCGGATCTAGTTATATGATCTTACTGTATCATACTAGTGGTCATCAGTTAAATCTCTAGTTCAACTTCAAATTTTAAAATCATTGCTTGTAATGTTCATTAGTTATCATGCATAAGTTATTCAGCTGGATTTTCGGATCTCATTATACAATCTTACTATTGGTCACCAGTTAAATCTCAAGCTTAACTTCAAATTTAAAAATTGGGGTTTATAATGATCATCGGATATGATGCATGACCTATTCAGTTTAGATGAGTACAACAAATCAATTTAACAGTGAATCAATTGAACAGCTCGGATTAACAGATCCAAACGAATCAAAGACGAAAACAATTTTCGAAGCATTCCAGTACATCAGGGTATAACCGAATCAAAACTATGAACAGATCGCCATCAAAACGACATAAACGCAGAAAAAAGGACGAGATCTAGGGAGAAGACTTACCGAAAACGGTGTTGATGGGGTTCATAGCGACCTGGTTCTTCGCGGCATCGCCAATGAGCCGCTCAGAGTCGGTGAACGCCACATACGACGGCGTGGTCCGGTTTCCCTGGTCGTTGGCGATGATCTCAACTCGATCGTGCTGCCAGACACCGACGCACGAATACGTAGTGCCGAGATCGATTCCGATGGCGGGTCCTTCACCTTTTCCGGCCATTGTCACTCTGGATTACAAGTATTTCACAGAGAGAACAGGTAGAGAATGATCGGAAGCGGGGTAGAGCGAGATCTGAGAAATCAAAAGAATTTCGTTTGTGTACGATTGAGGGGTGGTTTGTGTGTGTCTATATAGGGAATTGTGGAGAGGGAAACTCCTAGCGGGTTCTGGAATGTTCTTTGGGGACCGACTTTTTCAACACAGGAAAAAGGGAACTTCCTTACTTGGTGGATGGTGAATCGGTAATTAGGTATGGAAGCAGGCCGGGCTACCCGTTTGTGGATTTGGCTCAATACTCATCTTCCAAAAATAATCTCATATTTTGACTTTTTAATCAATTTCTGCCACATTTATATCATAAATTAAATTATAAAATTTATATATCAAAACTATATCATCATCATTATTATAACTATAGTTTATAAACTATTTCAATTTTCTATTTTATTTTTCCCATTTCACTATTTTGTGATTCACACTCATTATTGTTTTTTCATTTTTATTATAAATAGACGGAGTGCAATTTTACTTGGAAAACTGTGTTTTTTAATTTACATAGCATTAAACTATGTTCCAAAAATTATGGATATTTTATTAATCTAAATTGACATGGGAAAAAATATCAATATTTTAAATTAAAAATAATAATTTTACTTCTCTCACTGTCCTTAATTAAATGACATGTACAATATTCACGTGCTCCAATTTTATCAACTTTCCTTACCTATTATGAGTATTGTAATAATAATAATAATAATAACAACAATAATAATACTCCGTAATAACAACAACAAGAGCAGCAAAAAAAACAACAATGACAATTATAATAAGAATACTACGTAAAATACAGTTAAATAAATTTTTAAAGTTTTTTCTAATTTTTTGCATTTTTCAGCTTTTCAATTTTTTTTTTCAAGTTTTCTAGTAACTTCCGATTTATTCTATTTAATTTTTTTTAACATTCTACCTTTTTTCTAGTCCTAGAGAACAAGCTCTAAGAGTAAAAGTTATAAAACACGCAGAAAGTGCTAAAATAATTTTTTAATTTCAAAATAAAACTACTACCATGTAGTAATTTGGTATTGTATATTCCAAACTATTTTTGGTATTAGATGCTGACTGATGGATACCCAATATTTTCTCAAGGACTGTAGATCGACCTAGGTCCAAATATAGGTATCCGGGCCTTATAATATTGAAAGATAATACGAGAATAATAATTAATAGTAATAGAAGCACTGCTCACTAGATAATAACTCAAATCGGCGGTCCTCTCCTTTATTCGGTCCTCTTAGGAACGGAATATGCTTGAGGATCGCTAGAATATCTTTTATTATTTACTCACGTATTTTCTCTCCTCATTACAAGATATCCTCCATTCCCCAAGTCCCTCTTTCTTTTATAGGCACTCCCCATCCATTATCCTCTTCAATAATGGCAGTGATTGGGGGAATATTCGTGCCAGCCTTCCTCCATCTNCCTAGGTCCAAATATAGGTATCCGGGCCTTATAATATTGAAAGATAATACGAGAATAATAATTAATAGTAATAGAAGCACTGCTCACTAGATAATAACTCAAATCGGCGGTCCTCTCCTTTATTCGGTCCTCTTAGGAACGGAATATGCTTGAGGATCGCTAGAATATCTTTTATTATTTACTCACGTATTTTCTCTCCTCATTACAAGATATCCTCCATTCCCCAAGTCCCTCTTTCTTTTATAGGCACTCCCCATCCATTATCCTCTTCAATAATGGCAGTGATTGGGGGAATATTCGTGCCAGCCTTCCTCCATCTAGGGGGGTGTATCTCAGCTTGAGGCCGTCCACTGGAGGACAAGCCTGTCCGTCCATCTCTTGCTCCCTGTCCGTCCCTTTCCCCTTGTCCTTGTCCCTTCAATTAGGGGGGACTGCTCTAGACTCTTCCATACGATTTCTTTCCTTTGGGGTAGCTTATTCTTAGTGGGCTGGGCTTCAGCTCATTCTTAAGCCCCCAATCCTTTTCCTTTTTCCTATCTTTCCTCACGGATAACTTCCCTTGACTAGCCCAATATATTTTCTCTGGGTTGGACACTCCTTTTGATGGACGGAATCTAAATTGGGCCTGGGCCCAATTCGCTAGTATTCTCTCGATGGGCTTGGTTCCCATCACATGCCCCTTTTTTACAAGTCAACAAATAAAAGATTTTTTGACTGTAGTCTTTCTCACATGCTCTATTAGAAAGTTTCTCCTCCGTCCCTAATTTTTTTTTTGACGAAGATCCTCTTTTTGGGGAAAACCCCATCATTCACTTTGTATTTACTGCAGATGTTTTCTGTAGCGCATCTTTGCGGGCCACGGGGCTTGGATGAATAATTGGCCGACTAGACTGTCTTTTGGTCACACACTCCTTGGATCGTGGTGCCCCATATCTCTCCAATCACTGTCTGGGGTGCCAATGGCCCACGTCACCTTAATAATGGCTGACCATAGCAGGAAAAAGGGGTGACAACAGAGGGCCGCAGACCTGGGGAATTGCCAGTGTGGACCGCCTGGAAGTCTGCGCCACTTAAATACCCATGGCCCATTTTTCCGAACCCCTTTTGACCGGTCCCTCTGATTCCCTTAACTGCTGCGTAGGGCCGTTTCGAAACAGGTGCCATTCAAAATTCTTACCGTTGCAAAGAGATATTGAGGGTGGACCGTTTCTTCTCCCTCTTCTTTCTCTCTATAAATACGGT